CCGGTAATTTCCCAGTTCTTCCCGTTTCTTCCCTCCTAAGTTTGCTATCCGTTCTAGGTTTCCTATCCGAGTCACGGCACCATTATGTCGCTCCCCCTCTTCGTGGAGGAACGACACTAAACCCTGCGCTGTTCTTTCGTCTGCTCGGCCCTCCCCGGGTTTGCTGCTGGTTCTTCCCGGGTTGGCTACTATCCCTTCCACCTCCGTGGAAGGGCAGTTCCCCCTGGCCGCATTCCCCACTTCCGCAGGGGAGCGGCACACCGCCGGCCGGCTCTTCTCGGGGGCTGCACGGGTTCCCTTAGATGTTCCCCATAGATGTTCCTGGTGCATGCCGTCTCTCTCCTCCTTTATGGTCCTCCTCCGCCAATCCTAACTCGGCTGCCCACACGCCGAGTACGCTGCTCTCCAATCAGGAGCAAGTCCTACAGTTTATTAGTTGAACTGGAGGCAGCTGTGCGGAAGCTGTTTACTTCTCTCCCAGGGCCATATTGTGGGAGAGCAGATGCATAGAATAAGTCTTAATTCGAGTAACTTAGTCTAGTCCGGATTGCTCCCCACATATATCTCCATTTTTAAAAAAGATGTATTTTTTAATTTTTTATTTGAAAAGCAAACTGACAGAGAGAAGATGACACACAGAGAGAGGGAGGGAAGGAAAGAGAGAGACAAAGAGAGATTATCTTACATCCACTGGTTCACTCCCCAAACGGCCACAACACAAACTTCCTCCAGGTCTCCCACGCGGTGCAAGGGCCGAAGCACCTGGGCCGTCCTCCACGGCCTTCTCAGGCCATTAGCAGGGAGCTGGATCAGAGTGCAGCAGCCGGGACCAGAGCCAGCTCCGATGCAGATGCCAGACATGGAATGTCTGCATCACAGTGGTGGTGGGGCTTCAGCACTGGGCTGCACGATGGCCCTTCTCCGTTACGTTCAGGAACTGTGCTCTTCAGCGATGGCTTTGAAGGCTTCACCACGGAGGTCGCACACACCTGAACTTACTCCTCCACACTTGGGGGCGTTACATGTGCACATTCTACTTTAAAACAGCAATTATTTTACTTGGGAGTAACTTTAGACGATTAACGTTAATATCTTTCTTTAAAAGATCTGTTTTATTTATTTGAAAGAGTTAGAGAGAGAGAGAGAGGTCTTCCATCCTCTGGTCCATTCCCCAAATGGCCGCAATGGCCGGACTTGAGCTGAGCTGATCTGAGGCCAGGAGCCAGGGACTTCTCCTGGGTCTCCCACGTGGCTGCAGGGGCCCAAGCACCCGGGCCATTTTCCGCTGCTTTCTCAGGCACATTATCAGGGAGCTGGATCAAAGTGGAACAGTCAGGACTCAAACTGGCAACCATACGGGATGCCGGCTTGTAGGCCAGGGCATTAACCCACTGCGCCACAGCGGCAGCCCCTAATGTTAGCAGCTTATGCAAGGGTGGTCTATTTATCAACACTAAGAGGTGACACAGGTACCTGACTGCTGAATTCCCGGGCCTACTTGGATTTCACCAGCTCTGCTGCCAGATCTGGCCCAGGAAACCACACGGCATTCACGTCACGTGCCCCTGGTCTTCAGTCCTGTAGGTATCTGGGAGAACAGCTCTGACTCGGCTTGACGGAGCTCCTGGGTTCTTGGTGCCCTTCTCACTTCCTGTCAGTGTGCCCGCTGTGACCAGGACACATCCCTGGCAACGTGGACCTCCACGGCCCCGGGGGAGCTGCGCCGCTTCTTTCCACGAGTGCCCCCTCAAGTCAGGAGGCGCAGCCCCGTGGTGAAGAGGGACGCAGCTCCAGGTCCTGCAGGCGGCGGATTCTCTGGGATCCTTTGTGAGGGCAGCTGTGCCTCCCCCGCTCATCTCCTCCATCATTGGGATCCGTCTGGACTCCTGAACACTCAGCTTGAACTTCGGGACCACGCGCTGTCCCTGCCACAGGTCCTGCTCTGTGGCGCCTGCCCGGGCCAGGGGCACCAAGGCTGCTGCTCCAGGAGCGGGCACGCGGCAAGGCCGAGAACCGCCGCCCTCAACCCGCGCTCCCCGTGGAACTCTCGCGTAGCAACAACGCTGACACTCACGGCCACCCCGTCCTCCCTGCTCTCCTCAAAGCCCCATCTTTCCCTCTATCCTGCCGCACGGGCCGGCAGCACCGGGGGAAGCAGAGGCCCAGCCGGGGCTTCGGGCCAGCGAGAGCTCTCACTGGGTCATCAGGACCACGAAAGGGAAGCCGCCTCCCTGCACGAGATGCTGACGGCGCAACCTCCAGCAGCCTCTTCTGGAATGAGCTGCACTCGGCCACGGTTTTCCAATACGCTACAGAAATCGTGGTTTAATACTTCCGAATCTGGGTTTTTTGTGTAAGTGTAGTTTTTACAAGGAGATGGAGTGATCGTTTGTGTTTTCACCAACCAGCCAGCTCTGATGCCCCGTGCTCCTGTCTCTCCACAGAGACTTCTTAATGCTACTATGAGGGGATTTTTTTATCATGAAGAAAAGAACCACAATTCTTCAACTATTACAGATTCACATTTACCTTAATATCGCTGTTGAAGATGCCCTGGAAGACGGTCAATAGAAGACCACCTTAGCTGAGAGTTCTGATCGGGCAGCAGCACCTCACGTTGGCAGGATCCTCCCGCCGGCGTTACAAAGAGCCTGTTCCCTTTCTGAGGTTGTAACGTGTGCCTCAACGGCTCTCGATGGCAAGTTGCCATTCCCTGCAAAGTGCAGAACTGCCTCTGTTCAGAGCGAAACTGGCTTCCACCTCTCTTCTGCTCCTGCTCAGATTAACACAGAAGACTGCACTGGGCTCAGAAAATGCATCCAACGTCCACCTCTTCTTCTAGCGTAGAGGCGTTTCCACACTGACTGATTCTGCTCTCGGGAGACGTGGCAAAAGCTGCCTGCCAACCATCCGGTTCTGCAGTCTTTGGGGACGGAAACCACAGATTCAATTTATTTCATCTGTTTTGGTTTAAGTTTCCTCTTTGTTTACTCAGATATACTCTTTTCACAGCGTGGCCTACTTCCCAACATACAACACAGCTCATTTGCCACTTGCCATCCACCTGCACCTGCTACAACCTAAGTTCCACGGGAGCACGGATGTGCAGAGTCAAGGGCACCCAGCGGAGGACTTGCACGGAGGAGCACTCTCAGATGGCCCTGCGCCGCCTTGGGCCACAATACTCACGCAAAAAATTATTACCTTTCATGCAAAAAAAAAAAAAAACCTCTACTATCTAAGAAAAAAAGGTGGAGGCAGATAAGGAATTAAAAGTAATAACCAAGGGCCAATGTGCTCAGGATCTGGAAGCAGAAACCAGGACAGAACGCGCAGGCTCCACTGTGGCCCCTGAAGCACACTCAGGACGACGTCATAGCCCGGCCTTTTTTTTTTTTTTTTTTTTTTTTTTTTTTTTTATTCATTTCACAGGTAGAGTTACAGTGAGACGGAGAGACAGAGAGAGAGGTCTTCCATCTGCTGGTTCACTCCCCAAATGACTGGGACTGGGCCAATCCAAAGCCAGGAGCCAGGAGCCTCCCCCAGGTCTCCCACGCGGGTGCAGGGGCCCAAGGACTTGGGCCATCCTCTGCTTTCCTGGGCCATAGCAGAGAACTGGATCAGAAGAGGAGTCGCTGGGACTAGAACCGGCACCCACATGGGATGGGGGTGCCACAGCCGGAGGATTAACCTACTGCGCCACAGCGCCGAAGGCCTGGCCTTCTAGTGCCTCCTTTGAGTATGGGTCCAACGCTCACCTCTCCAGCTCACGCGACAAACGACAAACAAAGTGTGCTGCACTAGACAATGGAGTAACATCCGCTCACAAAAGGAAGGATTTACTGACACGTGCTCCAGTGTGGATGAACCTCAGAACCATTACACTCAGTGCAAAAGCCAGCCAAGAGGGCCACACATCCCACGGCTCCATCTGTGAAATGCCCAGAACAGGCAAGTCTGCACACAGAGAAAACCAGGCTGTGGCCACCCAAGAACGGGGGCAGAGTCACGGCCGGCATACGTCCGCAGAACTGCCTGTGGTGCCGGCTGCACCACTCTGGGCACAGTAACACCATGGGATCGCGGGTGTTGAAGGGGTAAACTGTGTGGTATGTGAATTTAATCTAAGATTGCTAAAAAAATAACAAAAAAACTTTAAGACCTGATTACCTCTAAGTACCCTTTAAATACTTCCATTTGGATGCCCATCTCATTATCTCCTCAAACTCAACTTGTTCCAACGGATGTGTCTCTTACTGTCCAGCACAGACGCACAGGTGCCACACAGCTGCCACCTGCTCTCCCTCCTCCAAGCATCGCCCTTCCTACAACGTCCACACAGCCCCAGGGCAGGCACCCGGCCAGGAGAAGGCTCCCAGCTCCCGGTCAGTTGGGGAGCGCAGCAGGGCATGGCAGCGCTGTCCGTCTCCCCCTCTTTCTGACTCTAAGACACAAACAGGAGATCCGCGCAGGCCTCTCCCTCTGTGTGCCTGTGAAGGTCACCGCCCCCGGGCAGCCCTGCAGGCCTTGCGCGAGCTGGTCTGGCGTCAGTCTCACTGCTGCCTTCTCAACACCACGCCCTGGCTGTCTCACAGCACCCCATGCTCCTCCTCCACCTCTCCTGCCCTCGCACGGACCCCTGACGTGGCACACCTGGCCTGTCTCCAGAACCCAGCTCCTCCTCAGTGGTGCAGAACTCACTAACCACGTCGCTTCCACTGACCACCGATCCACAAACACCAGCTGACAAGTCCCTTCACAGCCAGAGCCAGGGACGGAGGAGTCACTGGTCACAGGGTTTTGCACCGTGGAACACAGTCACACCTCTGCCTTCATCGAGGTGTCCGAAGGGACAGGAAGGGCAGGTGGATAACCTGGCACGCGCCAGCACCGCGAGGTCTCAGAGCACCTGGCACGGTCCTGTCCCGTCACCACAGCAGCAGTGTCCATCTGATCGGCACAGGATGGCGGCACGGCCATCTCCGGAGCCCAGCACTCACCGCTCCCCCGCCACACCTCCGCTAAGTGGCAGCCGCCTTCTCCGGGCTCCTTGCAGAACTCCACAACATCGCGACAGGTTGTTTCCGGTGTTATGGGAACTTCTGTTAAAATCTGCTCGTTGTTGCTCAGGAAGACGGTCAGAATCATCTGCGAGAGAGAGATCAGAGCTGCAATGTCCAGTCTGCAGCACAGAAGCGGTCCTCTACCCTCCCCTCCCTCCCCCGCAACAGCCAGCCCTCCCAAACAGAATGCCTGCAGGATGAGTTTCTGGACATAGAAAAGCAGATGCAGTTCATGTAGAATAAAGAAGACAAAGGAGGAAAATCCCAAGAACAGACCTGAACTATGGGACACCATGCAGCCTGGGAACAGCGGCACCGGCACACAACCCAGTCCATCCCAGCCCCACAGCAACCCCAGGCAGGACCAGGGACATCTGAGCAGTTAAAATACCCACACCTCCCACACGAGCATGCTTCTAACAGGGTAAACATTTAGGTGTACATCAGAAACAAAAAACCTGAATAAAACTCGAGTAACTTTTTTTTAAAAAACCTTGGAGAAGGGGCTGGCATTGCAACACACCGGGTTAGTCCACTGCCTGGACACCAGCATCCCACGAGAGTGCTGGTTCTAGTCCCAGGGGCTCCACTCTGAGCCAGCTCCCTGCCAAAGCGCCTGGGAAAGCAGCAGAAGCACCTGTGCAGGAGACCCGGATGGAGCTCCGGTAGCACCATCTGGGGAGTGAACCAGAGGACGCAGGAGCACGCACATGCGCTCACACACTCCCACTCTCTCTGATGCTTTCAAATAAATCTTTAAAAAAAAAAAAAAGAGGGCAGAAAAATCCAGACATCATGAAACAAAAAGCTGGGCACTTGGCCTAGCAATGAGAGTGCCGGTAAGATGCCTGCATCCCACCTCAGATGCCTGGGTTTGAGCCCAGTCCCAGCTTCCTGCCAACACAGATTCTGGGGGGAGCAGGTGATGGCTCAAGTCCCTGGGTCCCTGCCACCCACACAGGGGACCTGCAGTGAGTTCCCAGCTCCTGGCTTCAACCCAGCTTGTTGCGGTCTTTTGAGAAGTAAACCAGTGGACGAAAACTCTGTTTCTGCCTCTCAAAACATTTTTAAAAATTAAAACCTTTAGAAAGATAAACATTGATATTTTCAAGTAGATCAAAAGAAATAATCTCTTACAAAGCAAAAAAAGACAAACTGGGAACAAAAATTTTTTTAGGGATTTATGTATTTATTTGAAAAGCAGAGTTAGAGAGAAGCACACACTGGTTCACTCCCCAAATGGCCACAATGGGCAGAGTTGGGCCAATCTGAAGCCAGGAGCTTCTTTGGGGTCTTCCATGTGTGTCGCTCCCCGTCTTCATGGAGGAACGACACAGGACCCTGCGCTGTTCTTTCGTCTGCTCGGCCCTCCCCGGGTTTGCTGCTGGTTCTTCCCGGGTTGGCTACTATCCCTTCCACCTCCGTGGAAGGGCGGTTCCCCCTGGCCACATTCCCCACTTCCGCAGGGGAGCGGCACACCGCCGGCCGGCTCTCTCGGGGGGCTGCACAGGTGTTCCCTTAGATGTTCCTGGTGCATGCCGTCTCTCTCCTCCTTTATAGTCCTCCTCCGCCAATCCTAACTCGGCTGCCCACACGCCGAGTACGCTGCTCTCCTCCAATCAGGAGCAAGTCCTACAGTTTATTGGTTGAACTGGAGGCAGCTGTGCGGAAGCTGTTTACTTCTCTCCCAGCGCCATATTGTGGGAGAGCAGATGCATAGAATAAGTCTTAATTCCAGTAACTTAGTCCAATCCGGATTGCTCCCCACAGATCCCCCTTTCTTTTTATTTTTTGGCGTTGATACGCGCCTGTCTTCGGTGTCCCGCGGCACACACTCTGCTCTACTTGCTAGAGTTGCCACAGGTTCTTACAAGTCCTATCAGGCAAACCGAATCCGGGTCCTCTCTTCGCCATGTTATGAGGAGGTTTTTAGGCGCTGATGCGTGCCTGTGTTCGGTGCCCCGCAGCACATGCTCTGCTCTGCCTGCAGGGGCTTACAAGCCCTAACAATCAGGCAAACCGAATCCAAGCCTTCTCATTGCCGTATTGTGGGGGAGGCCTTACTGATGTTAATTCGTGCCTGTCTTCGGTGACCTGCGGCGCATAAGCTGCTAGCTGCCCGCAGGTGCTCATCGCCTCACTTAATCAGGCAGACCGAATCCAAGCTCTCTCATTGCCATGTTGAGGGGAGGCCTTTCTATTTCTCTATTTCTCTATCTCCGGGCATTCCTATTTCTCCCATTTTACTTCTATCTTCCAGCATTCCTATTTCTCTCACTTTACTTCTAAACTTCTGTTTCTCTTATCCCCGCAGCTTCCCGGCGCCTTGCCCTGCCAGCAGGCTCCGCCCCGAGGCTACTTCTCGGCGGCTTTCCGGCTGAGCCGCTTCAGCCCGCGTCTCTCTCATCTGCGCGGCTCGGCTTTGCGTGCACACTCCGCGGTCTCACACTTAACCCTTTCGCGTCTGAACCACGGCCTTGCGCCAACCCCGCGTTTCCTATGTACTTGAGCCCCGCACGCTCTGTCTGCGCGCGGCAGCCTCCACGAGTCACACAGCGTAGCTTACGTGTCCGCCACTAGCATTCAATCTAAGTTCCCCGGGCTAGCCTGGCGAATTCAACCCAGCTCACGTCTCCGCCCCACGGTTTGGCTTCCCGTCCTTTGCTCCCCGGGCTAATCAGACGGATCCCAATCTGGCTTACGTTTCAGCTTCTGGTTTCAACTTTTCGCCCCCTATTCCCGGGCTAACTTGAGAATCCCAAAGTGGCTTTCGTTTCAGCCTCGGCCTGCCCCCCGCGGCTTCAATTTCCCTAACACTTTTCTCTACCCGGTATGTTTCCCTAAGTTTTCTTCCAACAATATTCCTCCCTCATTTCTCCTGGCCTCTCCCCACAGTCCGCGTCCGAGTCTGTCTGTTCTAGCTTTCACTTTCGCTTTCGACCTTAGAGATTTCTCCCAGCCTCCCCCCGTAGTCCGTATCTGAGTCTATGCCTAGGCTTTCAATAGCTTCTTCCGGCACCCTTTTTCGTCCGGCTTTTCCCTAGGCTGTTTGCTAGTCTCTCTCTCCGGTATTTTCCCTAGGCTGTTTGCTAGTCTCTCTCTCCGATATTTTCCCAGTTCTTCCCGTTTCTTCCCTCCTAAGTTTCATATCCATCCTAAGTTTCCTATCCGAGTCACGGCACCATTATGTCGCTCCCCCTCTTCGTGGAGGAACGACACTAAACCCTGCGCTGTTCTTTCGTCTGCTCGGCCCTCCCCGGGTTTGCTGCTGGTTCTTCCCGGGTTGGCTACTATCCCTTCCACCTCCGTGGAAGGGCAGTTCCCCCTGGCCACATTCCCCACTTCCGCAGGGGAGCGGCACACCGCCGGCCGGCTTTCTGGGGGCTGCACAGGTGTTCCTTCAGCTAGATGTTCCCCTTAGATGTTCCCGGTGCATGCCGTCTCTCTCCTCCTTTATAGTCCTCCTCCGCCAATCCCAACTCGGCTGCCCACACGCCGAGTACGCTGCTCTCCAATCAGGAGCAAGTCCTACAGTTTCTTGGTTGAACTGGAGGCAGCTGTGCGGAAGCTGTTTACTTCTCTCCCAGCGCCATATTGTGGGAGAGCAGATGCATAGAATAAGTCTTAATTCCAGTAACTCAGTCCAGTCCGGATTGCTCCCCACACATGTGGGTGCAGGGGCCCAAGCACCGGGGCCGTCTTCCACTGCCTTCCCAGTGCATTAGCAGGGAGCTGGATGTGAAGTTGAGCAGCTGGGACTGGAACCAGTGCCCGAATGGGATGCCACAACGCGGGCCCCTAGGCAAATATTTTTAATTCATATTACAAATAAATGGCTGACCTCAATAAAGAGCTTCTAAAATATGAGAACAGAAATAGAATTCATTAACAAAGAATTAGCCAAGAAAGTAAATTAACACAGCACAGTAAAAGAAAAACAAACACTGGAACATATAACCTATTTGAAAAAATAAAAGCAGGCCTTATTTCACAGTCTTATTTACTGGGCACATGCTGTGGCCCAGCGTGCTCAGCCCCTGGTTGAACGCCGGGGACCGAGCCCTGCCTCCACTTCCAGCCCAGCCCCTGCAAACACAAACTCGGAGGCAGCAGGTGATGACCGTGCCTGGCCTGACACCCACATGGAGTTCTCAGCGCCCCGCTTCAGCCTGGCCCAGCCCTGGCACTGAGGGCATTCGGGACAGTGAACCAGCAGATGGAAGGTCTCTCTTTGCTGTTCTTTCACGTAAATAAAAATAAACTTTGAAAAACTGTTGGGAGGGGGTTGGTGTTGTGGTGTACCAGGTTAAGGCCCTGGCATCCCATATGGGTGTCAGTTCGAGTCCCAGCTGCTCTACTTCCCACCCAGCTCCCCGCTGGTGCACCCTGGAAAGCAGCGGAAGATGGTTCCTGTGCTAGGGTCCCTGCCACCCACCTGGGAGACCCAGATGAAGCTCCTGGCTCCTGGCTTTGGCCTGGCCCTGGCTCAGTCATTGTGGCCATTTGGGGAGTCAACCAGCGGATGGAAGGTTTCTTTCTCTCTGCCGTTCCCTAATTCTGCCTTTAACATAAATAAATCTTTAAGAAAAACTGTTTTCATTTTATTTGAAAAGCAGAGCAACACAGAGAAAGGCAGACAGACAGATGGAGACTTCTATCCGCTGGTTCATTCTCCAAATGGTGCTACAGCCAGAGCTGGGCCAGGGGCCTGGAACTCCATCTGGGTCTCCCATGTGGGAGGCAGAGACCCAAGTGCTTGGGTCATCATCTGTTGCTTCCCGGGCTCTGATTAGCAGGAAGCTGGGACTGCAAGCATAACTGGAACTTGAACCTGGGCACTCCAACACAGGAAGTGGGCACCCAACACAGGAAGTGGGCACTCCAAGACAGGAAGTGGGCACCCAACACAGGAAGTGGGCACCCGTCACAGGAAGTGGGCACCCAACACAGGAAGTGGGCACTCCAAGACAGGAAGTGGGCACTCCTACACAGGAAGTGGGCACTCCAACACAGGAAGTGGGCACTCCTACACAGGAAGTGGGCACTCCTACACAGGAAGTGGGCACTCCAACACAGGAAATGGGC